CTGGAAAACAAGTGAAATACTGAATATTAAAATTATTAGGTTTTTTTATGATTTACAATTGATTTTTTTATTTGCTGTGTAGTAACAACAACTGAAGTTCCTATGGTTACCATGGTGAGGGAGCGACATCTTAATCTGCTGTCAGACTCCATCTGTTTCCTCAGATTTAATCTGATTAGCACTTGGAAGACTCCAATTAATCTCACCCACACAAACCGAAGTAGAGAAGCGTGGATGAGCGTTTCATGTGGTCTCCAGCATGCCTGTGTTCTACACGCCGATCCCTCAGAACCTGAGAGTGGGTCTGGCTAACGTCAGCGGCTCAGTGTTTATAAATAACAGGACACGAGACAGCGGAGACTTCAGGGACCCTTATCAGGATCATGAAGGTGAGACGTCTGCCAAACACAATGCAAATGACTCTAGAGCCTGCCTAGATTATATGTGACCCTGGACCACAAAACCAGTCATAAGGGTCAATTTTTTTAAATTGAGATTTATACATAATCTGAAAGCTGAATAAATAATGGTTTAAATTATACAACTATTTGAAAACCTGGAATCTGAGGGTGCAAAAAAATCAAAATACTGAGAAAATCGCCTTTAAAGTTGTCCATATGACGTTCTTAGCAATGCATATTACTAATCAAAAATTAAGTTTTAATATATTTACAGTAGGAAATTTACAAAATATCTTCATGGAACATGATCTTTACTTAATATCCTAATGATTTTTGGCATAAAAGAAAAATCGATAATTATGACTCATACAATGTTTTTTTGGCTATTGCTACAAATATACCCCAGCGACTTAAGACTGGTTTTGTGGTCCAGGGTCACATATAGGTTACACATTTGTTAGACTGTCGGTCTTTGTCACACTGTATGAGTGGATATCTCTCAGAAATAATGGTACAACAGCTGTCACGGGGGCGGTACGTTTTCAAAAGGTACATATTTGTACCCAAAGGGTCCATTTTGGTACCTTTAAGGTACATATTAGTACTTAAAGTGTGCATATTAGAACCTAATAGGTACAAAAGTGTACGTTTTGAAAAGGTACTGACCCAGTGACAGCTGTTGTACCTTTATTTCTGAGATTGTATAATATAAAATAAGAATTCACCTTTACTGGCGTTTTTTCATGCACTTTCTGTGAACATGACAAAAAAATAAAATCTGAAATTATTAAAAGCTCATTTTTAAGGACGTGCATAACCTTCAGAAAATGTTGATTAACTGAGGTCTAAATTTAAATATTTTATATTAAATATAAATACATATTACTTCAAAAATACATACATCATATAATACAGTATATAAGGTTAGGATTATGTATAAATGATATATACAATCCTATATATACTTCATATTAAACAAACTGCATACACTTATAATTTTACTTAATAAAATATAAAAAAAATTAAATGTGTAATATAAAAATAATTACAAAAACCTTGGTTAAAATGATACATTCACACACACACAAATCTAAATACTTTATATTAAATACACTTCACATTTATAATTGTAATTAAATGAAGTAAAATATAACATGAAATGTAATATAAAAGTATTTTAAGCCAAGTTTTTGTAATACACACACACACACACACACACACACACACACACACAAACAAACTTTGTA